TATATATAGTAATAGTATATATTGACATAAAGTGACTTTTTAAAATAATCTATGATTTGTGAAGCAGCAAATTACTGTTGAGGAATTAAAGTAAAACTTTTTTTTGTCTAAAATTTATTGGAGTTTCAGTGTATTAAAAGCGGTTTTTTATAACTACCATTTGAATGGAAATCTGTACAATTTTAGCGTTTATAATTATTAAACGATAATTTTGGCAGCAATGACTGTTGGTTTTTTAGTACAGTGTTCCTTATAGCTAACAATTTGGAGGTATTTAAAGGCTAAAATTTACAAAAGAAAAATTTTTCTTTGTAGGAAGAAATTTGAAATGTGAAAAAATGAATGTATTTTTAGTGAAAAAAGGCGCCTTCCACCAACGATGGGTTTGAATCAGCAAAATCGACGAGGTGCATATATAGTTCAATCAAGTGTTGAAGACGGTAGTGACGGTAGTTCACAGCCTGAAATAGTTAAAATGCGTGATAAAAAAGTTGGTGCACTCAATTTTTAAACAACTCTGACTTATATTTTTCTTACAGCTGTACAGTAAAACTGATTTGAGCGACTTTTTGTAAAACATATATCAATCTGCTTTCCAATTACTGCTACTTTTGTTGGTTTGAGCAAGAACTCTGTTTGCTTGACCGCGATATCTACTGTTCTGTTACAAATGGACCGTTACTTAAGTCAAGGACTTTACTGCATTTAATCAAAAAAAAAAAAGATTAGAAAGAAGAATGGCATACTGTAAATTTATGGATGATATGGTTAGTTGCAAAGTTAAAGGAAAATATTTGTTTATTCAGAAGCCTCTAAGAAACGGCAATCAGGTTTATCGTTTTCGACCATTAAGTACCAATTCGATTGCTTCAACTGCTGGTAAGTTATCAGTTTGTTTGTACAATTTTTTATGATAAAACTTTTATTATAAAAGAAATATGCAAAAAAAAAATGTTGTACAATATTAACAACAAAAAATAACTTTTTTTTGTAGTAGAATTGAGTTATTATTAAAGCTTTTTGTTGCTACAATAATATCAAGGCTTTTTACAAATTGCAACAGAAAACTGTTATTGATGTATATAACCTGTTTTCTGGGTGGATATTAAACATTAAAGAAAGAAATTTTTTTTCAGCTTCTTATACGACACCGGATCCGAAATGGAGGAATTCGCATGTATCTTCGGCTCCATCAACAGCCTCTGGACAGGCTTCTGCTCGTGATCCAGCGTTAATGGTAAGCTGGTTTTTTTTTATTTTTAGTTTTGGTTATTTCAACATTTGCTGACTGAAGTACTTTGGCGTTTCTGAACGCTACTGATAGGATGAGGCATAGAAACTGGAAAAAAAACTAGTAAAGAAGGTGGAAAAAAATTTGTGTGGAACGTTTTATGTGCAATTTTGGTGAACGGTCAATGTTGTTGAAAATTAAAATGTTTAGTTAGATGCAAATACGTAATTTTTAACACGGATAACAAACCTTTTGTTCAAATATTTTGATGCTTTGAAAACATTTATTATGCCGGTTATGATCAGTGCTGAGTAAGTAGATTCCAATAGGTACTTTTCAAAGAAGCTTTTTAATGACAGCTCTTTTTTTTTCTGTTTATTTTTGCTGTTATTTTCAATTCTGTTTCCTAAATTATTTTCAATTAAATTTAAATTTGTACATGAAAAGATTTAAGTAAAATTTAAGGATTTACACTTTCAATGAAGGTAAACAGCAGTTTAAGGAAACAGCAAGAAGAAAAAAAAAAAGGCAAAGAAGTGAAAAATAAATAACAGCAAATAAAGAGGAATAAAAGAACAAAATTTCTTTATTTTTGAATTTTTTTTATACATTGTATCTTAACAAAATTTTACAAGAAAAAACTAAAGTAACGCTGAATTGAATAAATCAGTCGTTTGCTTGTTTTCTTCTGCCGTTTTGTGTTCTTTCTACCCTCCTTCCTCCTCCTCCTTCTCCTCTTCCTTCCCCTTCTTCTTCTTCTCCTCTTTTCTCTTCTTTTTTTTTT